CACAACTAGACTGAAGAACAAAACGACAGTAACTTGTCTGTTCCCCTTACCCCAATTCCCCAGCGCTGTTCCCATCCCCCAATTCCCCAATAAAAATCTTTAAAAACAAAACAAAAAAAACTTCCTTTCTTAAAAAAAAAATTATAGTAAAAGACACATTGCCATTAATGCCTCTCAAAATACTCCCCCTCACTTTGAACACACTTATCCCATCGTCCTTGCCACTTTCTGAAGCAGTTTTGGAAGTCCTCTTTCGTAAATATCTTTAGTTGCGCTGTCGCGGCTGCCTTGACGTCCTGAATTGATTCAAAATGTTTACCTTTCACGGTCATTTTGACTTTGGCGAAGAGCCAAAAGTTGCACGGTGCCAGATCTGGTGAACAAGTGGGATGAGGACACACTGTAATGTGTTTATTTGACAGAAATTGCTGTATCAGAAGCGATGTGTGACACGGAGCCTTTCCCATTGTGATCACAAAATACAGTGAATGCTGCTGCTGAGTACCATCCAATGGGAAGGCAGGGATTTTCAATACAGGAAGTGGTGCATCGAACTTTAGTAACAGTGTGTGACAAGTTTCTACTTGTTTGGCACAGTCAGTTGGGTGTGAGCTACGGTTGAGAGATGTGTTTTAAAGTGTGCTATAACTCATCCTCCATCATGACAACGCTCTGTGTCACTCATCACTTCTGGTATATGGCAATTTCTGTCAAATAAAAACATTACAGTGTGTCCTTATTCACCGTAATTCACTGGATCTGGCATCATGCGACTTCTGACTCTTCCCCAAAGTCAAAATGATTCAGGACATTGAGGCAGCCATGACAGCACAACTAAAGACACTCATGAAAGAGGACTTTCAGAACTGCTTCTGAAAGTGGCAAGAATGATGGGATAAGTGTGTTTGAAGTGAGCGGGAGTATTTTGAGGGTGATTACTGGCAATGTGTCTTTACTGTAATAAATTTTTTTAATGTAAACATTCACCATATTTTGTGATCACACCTTGTATTTTTCCAAATTAGTGTTTTTATTTTCTTCAGATAAATACCCAGATGTGGAATTGTTGGATCATATGGCAGCTCTATTTTTAATTTTTTGAGGAACCTCCATTCTGTTTTTCATAGCTGCTGCACTAATTTATAATCTCACCAATAGTTTGAGAATTCCCTTTTTACACAACCTTGCCAAAACTTATTATTTGTTGCTTTATTGATGACAGCCCTTCTGACAGGTATGAGGTGATATCTCTGTGGTTTTAATTTGAATTTCCCTGATGATTAGTGATGTTGAGCATCTTTTCATATGTGTGTTGGCCATTTGTATGTCTTCTTGGGAGAAATGTCTACTCAGGTCCTCTGCCCATTTTTTAATTGTTTTTTCAAAGTGTTGAGTTGTGGGAGTTCTTTATATGTTGTTGGGTATTAATCCCTTATTGGATGTATCATTTGTGAATATCTTCTCCCATTCAGTTGGTCATCTTTTCATTTTGTTGATGATTTCCTTCACTGTGTAAAAACTTTTTAGTTTGATATAGCCCCATTTTTTTCCTTTTGTTTCCCTTGCTTGAGGATGTATATCCAAAAAGATATTGCTAAGAGTGATGTCACAGAGTTTACTGCCTATGTTTTTTTCTAGGAGCTTCATACTTTTAGGTCTAACATTTAAGTCTTGAATCAATTTTGAGTGTATTTTTGCATATGGTTTAAGAAAGTGGTCCAATTTCATTTTTTTTGCATGTATCTGTTCAGTTTTGCCAACATCATTTATTGAAGAGGCTGCCCTTACCCCTGTTTATATCCTTGTCTCATTTATTGTAATTGACCATATATGTGAGGATTTATTTCTGGGCTCTATATTCTATTCCATTGATCTGTATATCTGTTTTTATAACAGTACCATACTGTTTTGATTATTGTAGCTTTGTAGTATAGTTTGATATCAGGGATCGTGATACCTCCCACTTTGTTCTTTTTCAAATTTCCTTGGCTATTTGAGGTCTTTTGTGGTTCCATATATTTTAGGATTAGTTGTTGAATGCCATTGGTATTTTAATAAGGATTGCATTGAATCTGCATATTATTTTAGGTAGTAAGGACATTTTAATAATATTAATCCTTCTAATCTATGAGTAAGTTATAGCCTTCCATTTATTTATTATTTTTTTTAAAGATTTTTTTTATTGGGGAATTGGGGGGATGGGAACAGTGCTGGGGAATTAGGGGAAGGGGAACAGACAACTTGCTGTCCTTTTGTTCTTCAATCTAGTTGTGGAGGACATTGTTTCACTGGCCCAAGTTGGCACCATCATTGCGCTCTTCCAGGGTGAGGCAGATCAGTCGCCGGTTTCTGGACGGCCGCTCACTGTGGCTGCTGGCCGCTCACGCTGGCTGCTGGCTACACACGGTAGCCCATGGCAACCCACTGCCACAGGGGCTGCAGCCCACGCTGTCGCCGGCGACCCACGGCAGCCCAGCTCCAGGTTGAGCTGTTGTTCAGCATCTTAGCTGTGGAGGGCAGTGTAACTGGCCCTCGTATGTGGGATCCAAACCAGGGCCCTCTGGCATCCCAAGCCAGTTCTTAACCATCACGCCACTCGGCCGGCCCCCTTCCATTTATTTTTATCTTGTTCAGTTTCTTTCTTCAGTGTCTTAAAATTTTCAGAGTACAGGTCTTTCATTGCTTTGGTTAAATTTATTCCTAGGTATTTTATACTTTTTGATGCAGTTGTACATGGGATTATTTTCATTTTTTTAAAAAATAGATTTTATTGGGGAATTGGGGGAAGGGGAACAGACAAGTTGCTGTCCTTTTGTTCTTCAGTCTAGTTGTGGAGGATGTCACTTCACTGGCCCATGTTGGTGTTGTGATTCTTCCTGGCTGAGGCAGATCCGTTGCTGGCCATTGGACGGCTGCTCACGGTGGCTCACGGCAGCTCTCGCTGGCTGCTGGCCACTCACTCCCGCTGCCAGCCACTCACTGTAGCTCACGGCAGCCTTCGCTGTTGCCGGTGACTCATGGCAGCCCAGCTCCAAGTGGAGCTGTTGTTCACCATCTTAGCTGTAGAGGGTGCAGCATCACTGGCCCTCATCTGGGATCCGAAACAGGGCCATGCTGCTCAGAGCTGGCATCCCCAGCCAACTCTTAACCAACACGCCACTCGGCCGGCCCCATGGGATTATTTTCTTAATTTCTTCTTCTGGTAATTTGTTATTGGTATATAGAAACAATAGATTTCTGTATATTGATCTCTATCCTGCAACTTTACTGAAGTCAAACTAATAGGTTTCTTTGGTGGAGTCTTTAGGGTTTTCTTTTCTTTTTTAAAGATTTTATTGAGGAATTGGGTGAGGGGAACAGACAGGTAGACAAATTGCTGTTTTTTGTTCTTCAGTCTAGTTCTGGAGGACATTGCTTCACTGGCCCATGTTGGCATGATCATTGCGCTCTTCCCGGGTGAGGCAATTGGTTGCCAGTCATTGGTTGGCTGCTCACAGAGGCTCATGGTAGCTCTTGCTGGCTGCCAGCCACTCATGTAGCTCACGGGAGCCCACTGCAGCCCTGCTGCAGCCTACGCCGTTACCGGCGACTCACAGCAGCCCAGCTCCAGGTCGAGCTGTTGTTCATCATCTTAGCTGTAGAGGGCGCAGCATCACTGGCCCTCATATGTGGGATCCGAACCTCAGCCCTGCTGCTCAGAGCTGGTGCTCCCAAGGGAGCTCTTAACCAACTGAGCCACTCAGCCAGCCCTAGGTTTTTCTATATACTCGTATAATATGATATCATTTGCAAGTAATGAGTTTTACTTCTTCCTTTCCAATTAGGGTATCAAAAGGGATGACTTCTAGACTTCTAGAAGAGGAAGTGAGGATCATTAGAACTCAGGTGGGTTATATAAAAGCACGACTGACTACACTTTATCGGTTGACATGACTGTTAGTTAGATCAAGGGGCACTGTTGGATATAAGCAGCATGAGCAGTCAGGAGGGGGACCAAACACGAGGAGGAAGTAAACAAGGGACACTTAGCCTGGAGGGAAGAAGGCAGGGGGATTTGATGGCTGATGTCAAGTATGAAAAGGACCCTTGTTTGGAAGAGGAGCCAGGCATCCTTGGGCTTCTCTAATGACACGATTACAGACACCTAGGATAAGACTGAGTATAAGGAAGAGCTGTCTCACCACTCACACCATCCAATAGTGGTGCAGGGTGCTGGTCCAGAGAGCGGTTGTCCCATCACTGCAAGTGCGCAAGCAGAAGCTGCCCAGTCACTTTTTGGGGACTGTTTTAGGGGAGATTCAGGCATTATTGTATGGTTGATGCTAAAGTCCCTTCCGATTTTGAGATTCTATGATCCTAGGACCGTGTAGGTGTGAATGGGAAGGAATAGGTGGGAAATACAGAGATTGTGTAATGCATAGGGTGGAAGAAAGTGGAAAAAGACAGAGAGAGGAAACATAGATCACTCAATTAAGAAAAGAATCGCGTAGCCATATAGTCTAGAAGAATCCATTATCTTTTTAGCCCCAAAGACCAGGATCATCCCCAAATTGTGTAGGGCTGTTCAAGAAAATTGCACTTCAAAGGAGGCTTTGAATCAATGTCTTTCATAGGCTTTTTGGGAGGTCATTAAGGACAGATTTCAAAATAGAATTTTAATGATGATCAGAAAAGAGGAGGACAGTGTGCCAGTTGGGTCCTTCCCCCGACAGGGCCCGACTTGCAGGCCTGCTGAGGATGACCATGGGGGCAGGGGCAAGGCATCCCCTCGGGAGCAGGCCTAAGGCGCAGGCCCGGAGAATAAGTTTTAGAAACAAGAAGCAGAAAGGGGTGGAATAATGGAAGAGGGAGGAAAGATAAGGACAGAGTGAACAGGTGCATTTATTCCGAACGGGCAGCTGCGTCCAGGGGTCTCAGGAGCACCTCTTTCTGCTGGTCTCAGGGGAATCAGGAGGCTGAGACTCTAATGCTGGCTCTGCCTGAATTTCCTGAGTGACCTTGCAGACGTCATTTCACCTCTCCGCCTCCTCCCTATTGTCAAAACAGGCATCCCGTTCGCCTAAAAGTGGGCTTTACCGGGGAGAAAAAATAGTTTTAGAAATTTAAGATTGTATGTATTCGAAGTGTTTGCATATTTTCACGGTTGGGGAGGGAGAACTGGCAAGAGGAGGGTAGAAATAAAGGTGAGAAGACATGGGGCCAAAGCCTCTTGGCTCCACCCCCTCATCCTGGGGAGCCCAGGGGAAGGGGTTCTGGCAGGGTGCACTTGTAGACAGCCCCTGGACCAGTCGGGCATCAAAGAGTAGAGCGGTTCTACTCCCGCTCTGTTGTCCCTTCAGCAAATCCCATGGCAGCATCCAGCGACGAAAAGCGAGGCACGCCCCTCCCCCACTAGGTGGCACTGAAACGCCTCGTTGGCGATTTTCAAAAATGCAGGAACGAGGAAAAAAGACAAAAAGAATATGGTGGAGGTGCGCTCATTTTGGCCTGCAGGCCCCGTTGTGTAAAGCAGGTTGGAGGGCACTCCCACTCCCCCACCCCCTCAGGGCAGAGATTTACGCGGCAGTGAGGGCCCTGGACTTTGGAATGAGGGTGAAAACAAGGGGTGAGCATTAGAGTGAAAAACCTAGAGTTGCAACCTGGGAGGGAGGCTCCCGGGCCTCTGCGGCGCTGTCTCACGTGAGCCGGGCGGTGGGGTGAAGCCGGGCTGGCCTGCAGCCCACCCGCTTCAGGTCTGGGCTCCCGCACTACCTCCCGGAGCCCCCGCGGAGCCTAAATCCAGCCGCCACCAGATAAGGACAAATCCCAGGTTCCGTTGAACCCCACCTCCCCTTCCTGACAACTCGAGCTCCCCCAGCATTTAAAAAATCTATTCAGCACCCCGCCCCCATTGCCCCCTCCCCCACTAAAATTCTCTTCCTCTTGTCTTGAAACGACCCTTTCCCCCCTTTTCCTGCTGAGGAGGGAGGTGGCGGTGAATGTGTGTGCGGGCGTCTGGCGCTGGCAGGAGTCTGACTAGCGGTGATAACTCCGGCTCAGCCCCGCGTGCAGTCGCCTGTAGCTAGCAAGACAGCTCCTGTGTGGTGTTTTGGGGAAAACAAAGATCAAATACAATCCAAGACACCAGCGACCCAAACCGGGGACGCAGAGAACTTCCTCAGCCCCTCTGAATGCCTGCTCCGCAATAAGCAATCTTTTCTTTAAAGAACGATGCCCGATTCGAGGGAATTTTCCACCCCTGGAAACAGATAAACCAGAGATGGAGGCAACATCCCTAAATTTATAATAATGCATGTAAACATGCTACATACCACATATATGTATATGTGCATTAATATGGATGTGGCTGGGCACATACCTATCGAGACACCATTGACTTGCCTGGTCAAAGCATGAGGCTTAGACGTTTCGTGCCCGGGAAATGGTGCAGTTTATCTTTAAGGAGGCTAGAAAAATAAGAGATGAGGCTCACGTTGCACGGATGACATCACTAGCTTTTGGCTGCGCGCTCCGTGTGCTCGTCTGTGGGTTTTTAGCCAAGGCTGCAGCGCCAGGCGCCGAGCGAGCGAGCGAGCGCGCCAGCGGCTTCCTCAGGCGCCCGCACCCGGGCCAGGCGACTTCCTGAGCCCCCCGGGCGCAGCCTGGGCCTTCGCTCCCCAGCACCGGCCGAGCCCGCGAGGCCCCGGAGCCACCGCGGCCGGAGGAGGAGGCGAGGCGGGGAAGCAGAGAGACCCAGCCTCCCTCCCCCACCCTCGCCCCCGTCACGTCGGCGACCACCGCGCGCTGGGAGCCTGAGCGTGGGACTCCAAGGCCGGGACGCGATTCTCTGCACGCTGCCGAGTGAGCCGGCGTCTCGGGCCTGGGTGGGCTGCGAAGAAAATGGTGCAGTCTGAAAGCGGCTGACCCCAGTTGGGCAGAGCAGACGCGGTGCTAGAGCGCAGGGGCTCAGGTGGCGGGAGAAGGGGCGGGTTGTTTTGAGGGGTCGGGGCCGCTGTTTTCTTCGGTGCTTGCAGCATTTTCTTTGCACCTACCTGGTCAGCACGTTCCCGGGGTTACCCGAGAGCCAGATGAAGTGAGGCGGCGGCGTCGCGGGAGCGGTCTGGAGGTGGCCAGGTGGACACTCCAGGAAGACGACTGCGCTGGGAAGACCAGCATGACGCCCCAGGGGCTGGCTGCCTGGCGGGCGGCGCGCTGTGATCGTGCGACCTGTCCATGGTGTTGAAGGCGCCGTGCGCCCAGCTCCGCGCTCCGCGCGGTGCGCCCTACCGGGTGCGCCCTCCTCCGCGCAGCCGACTCCCGGCGCCCGCCGGCTGCGGTCCAGTCTCCGAATTCCGGGATCCAACGCTCGTCCAGTAACACCGTCCGGGTGACGGCGCCGTCGACCCGAGGGGCCACCTGAATGGCAAGGCTAGAGGCCGACGACCCGCGAGCTCGCTGCGAAAGGTCGGCCGAGACCGTGCGCCCACGGGGAGCCCGCCTTTGAGCGCAGCACGCTGGCCAAACGGAGCAAGGGACCTGCTGGTGACTAGAGGACGGAGATTTTTAAAAGACCCGACCCAGAGAGGAAGAACATTTTTTTTTAGCTTGCAGACCGGAAGGAGGAGAGTCGCTGAGAGGGAGACCTAGGTGGGACTCCGGGCAGCCGGCCCTGGCATCTGGAGGTTTTCTTCGCTGGCCGGGCTCATCGCGAGTGTCTCAGTTCACCCTGTCGTCGGGCAGCTTCTCCTGACAGCCCCCACCCTCCTCCAGGAAAGCCCGGCGAGTGGGTCCTGTCGCCGCCGCCCTGCACAGAGAAAGCCCGGCGGCCGCACCGCAGCCGAGGGCACCTGGTATTTAGTTTCCGGCCGGAGGGCAGCTGCGCCCGAAGCCAGGCTGCGTGCCGGCGCGGCTGGTTCGGAGCGGTCGCTTCCTGCGGGGCAGGGAGGGGGCCGGAGCCGCCGGAGGCTGCGCCTGACCCGGAGGATGCCCAGGAGCCTGCCGGAGCCTCTCCGGATCAGAACTTAGTAGGCTGTCCGCCCCCACCGCCTTCAGTCCCTGGGCCGCGCACCGGCAGGCGGGGGCCAAGGGGGCGCCCTCCCCCCTCGGCTCCGCCGCCCGCCGCTTTGTTCCGGGCGCGAGAAGGGAAGGCGAGGCTGCGGCGGATCATGCCCATGGTGTAGCCGCGAAGCGGAGGCATGGCTGCCGGAAGGTTACTGCTCTACACGGGCCTCTCGCTAGCGCTCTGCGCCCTCGGCATGCTGGCCGTGGCCATCTGCTCGGACCACTGGTACGAGACGGACGCCAGGAAGCACAGGGACAGGTGCAAGGCCTTCAACACCCGCCGGGTCGACCCCGGCTTCATCTACAACAACAACAACAACTTGCCGCTGCGGGCGAGCCGCTCGCGCCTGGACCGCTGGGAGGGCAAACTCCTCCGGGCCCGGAACCGCCGGCAGCTCTTCGCCATGAGCCCCGCTGACGAGTGCAGCCGGCAGTACAACTCCACCAACATGGGCCTCTGGAGGAAGTGCCACCGGCAGGGCTTCGACCCCGAGATCGCGGCCCTCATCCGGAAAGGTAAGCGCGAGGCTCGCGGCGTGGCGCTGCGGAGGGCCCGGCGCCTCTAGGCCCCGCGCGCGCCCTCTGCTCCCGTCACCTGGTTACAGTCTATCAGGCCTCCTGCGGCCGGGAGGTCAGGTTATCCAGGCCCTGCCGAGCCTTAGAGTGGCCGGAACTTACCTCCCAGTACCTGCTGACGAACGCTCACCTCTCTCTACCCGGCCTCTTGTCTTGCGTTTGTCTGATGAGATGCCAGTGGAATTGCATGGTCCAGGGTTTTTATCCAGGCTAGTGCTTCATCAGTCTCTGAAAAGGAAAGGAATCTATAATGTGCTGCTAGCGGAGGAAGCCCTTTAAGGGTAATGTGTCAGAGTAGACAGACTCCTGGTTTTAATCTTTGTTTTAGATGTTGAACTGATTCAACAAGGGAAATTGGGGGAAACATCTCGCACAGAAGGCCTGATTCATACCAGAAACGTTTGCTAAGTGCTACCCTCTACCAGGCATGGTGCAGGTGTTGGTCATAGAAACATCAGTAAATCACAGCTCCTGCCTTATTGCAGCTCAAAGCCGGCAGCATCCTACCGCATTTCTCGATTTCTCCTTTTGAGAAAGTGGTTGACCAAAGTGACTTGTGTGCATTGGATATCAGCAGGGCTCAACAAGCACACAAAAAAGTAGTTCTTCAGGTAACACCAAAGTGGGCACTGTAGAAAAGACAAATACTATTTTCAGAAGACATATATACAAAAATGCCCAAAGTGGACCAAAGCAGAAAAGAAACTGCATTTGCTAATAATAAAATTTTATTGGATAATTTCATATGATCACATACATTTTTACGAGTCTGCTTATCTGATGCAGTTTGTAAATCTGAATGATACATACTGTAGGGACCATCCTGTCCCATTAACCCACTGAAATATTGTTTGGATGATATCAGTATTGCTTTGAAGTGGGACTACATTGTCTTCTGTGGTTGCTACATCCTGGGAGATGGGGTGCGATTTATTCGTCTTGTTTTTCTCTTCCACTCTTAAGTGGTGACGGCAAGGTGAAAACAATGTTGTTTATCTGCAGTCTCTGAGGCCAAGATATAAAACAGTTCTTAACGTCTCAATATTATCATGCAGCTTAAAATATCACTTGTGAGAACAGATGTGCTTTGATTTGGATTTATAAAAATGTTGAAATTGATCAGAAAAACATGTTCATGTCAAATGTCAATTGTTTAAGCATGACAAGTAGTGTCTGTGGTCTGGGTGGTCCCTCAGATAGGTGCAGAAAGAGAGCCCATCTTAATGTTGTTTGGTAGGCTCTGTAGAATGACTAGGGAGTTTAGCTGATTTCTTAGGAGAGTGTTAGTGTTACAAACATCTAGGAGAGTGTTAGTGTTACAAACATCAGACCTGCTTTATGGTTAGTCTCTTATTAGAGCAGAGTGACCCTATTTGGAGCGCTACAACTTTGTAAACGTGTATAGGATATTAGAGAATTCCAGAGAGAGCAACGTGGGTTTGGATTTAGAATTAGGGAAACAAGAGCCAGCCGACTCTTTTCCGACAACGGGCGACTTAATAGCAGCTTCTACCTTCTCAGGCTCCTAAAGTGTTATTTTATTCATTGTTTTCTGCTTTCACTAAAATTGCAATGGTGGGAAGTTAGCTGACACGTGAGGAAGAATTTATGTGAATAATGGCTGATAAACACTGGTATAGGACTTGCTGAAGGACAATTCTTGACTTGCCTCCCTTGAATGTCTCCTGGAACAAGACAGGCATCTTTCTGTCTGCTATTGGTCAACTCCACTGAGATAAAGGGGGATGGAATTCATGGCTTCTGATGGTTGCAGTGAGGGTTTTGATTCCATGTTGCTCTGCTTGCTTGGCAGTCTGCTAGAAAGGTTGACTTGGTCTGTGCACCAGAGGGACTGGTTACCATAGTGACATGTTCTTCCGGTGAAGCTAGAAACACAGTGACAGGGAAAGGGATAGGGGAAGAATGGACAACATTTTGACTTTGTATTGACTGATTTTTAATTGCAGCAACAGAAAATGGACACGGCGCAGCAGGGGGATTGAATGCACTGATACCTAGAGTTGGCAGGGCATTGTATTTCACTTCAACTAATGGAAATCCTGTTCCCCATCACCCCAAATACAGCAATCACTGTCAGCGGCAAGAGCCCGCTTACCATGGCTGTTTCTGTCCGTTTGACATTCTTGTTAGGTGTTATTGAGATAGATGGCATGCCAGCTTTACAAATTATCAGAGACTTAAGGTCACCATCTTCATTTTTAACCTCAAAACAGAATCTTTGAAAGCCAAATCTTCCTTTTTCTAAGCAGTGATAGACACATTTTGGAAATAAGTGTATCTTATGTTAGGAGAATTCACAAGCCATTCCAATAACATACACAGCATGATTTCTAGACTTAATAATCAGTGTTCTTCCTAGATGGACAGATTTTCAAAGGAAGTTAAAAAAAAATGAAGTTAATATCTCTATATTTAAATTCAGGGCATCTTAGGGAAAGATATTTATCTCACAGTGTTCATTCTCAGCCTTAAAAGATATCTTAGGCCTTTGTCTTTCTTTGAAACATCTTAGATTAACATTCCGGGAGAGATGTGTTGGGCAAAGGGGAAGGGAAACCAGAGAAAAACCTGTCAATACGATGGGAAAATTAGAGCTTTATCTAAATGATCATACAGCCCTAAGAACTCAATCATCTGTTAAATCAGTGTTCACATTAGAAAGTGCTGTTTGTGCATTTTAGATAAAACTAAACCCCATAACTAATAAGAAAACAAGTCAAATTTATATTTGATTTAAAGATAAAGTCCTTTGGACTCATATTCTTTCTGAAATCCATTTCTTCAATGCCTGGCTGCCATGACTGTACCCACAGACGTGCATTTCTGGTCACTGTGTATTTATTTGTCATATTCAAAAGTAAGTGCCTGGAGGACAGGAAAGATAATCATTTGTAATGTAAAGCCACCAGATGCGTGCTACTTGGGAAATATCACATACAAATTAGGTTCAAAGGATGTATCCATCAAGCACTTATTCTAATTTTAGGAACACTTGTGTGGAAATCCAAATAAAGGATCAGTCAGAAAATTTGTGATTAAAAAACCCCCAAAGAGCTGGTGTGGCACTCAGGGCAGTTTAATATTGCAAAAGATGCTATACAATTTACCAAGAAAGATTTTATGAGCAAAAGCTTTGTTAAGGAATAAGGGAAGCACAATACTTTTTTTGGATAACATATATCACTAAATAGACACATAACGCCCACAATCATTATTTTTTGCATTAGCTTATTATTTTAATTATTTTCTTCTTGGAGGTAGGATTGGGCAGAGGGTGTGGCAAGGATAGAGTACCCTTGAATTCCCATATGACGGAGCCCATAATCAGGTCCTCCGTCTGCTTGCTTTTCAACCTCACCCATGTCTCTTTAGTAAGTCACTGCAAGCACTGGGGACAGATCAATGACAGTTTCTGAAATTCAGGAGACTTCAGACCCTTAGGAGAAGCAACTACAGGTAGGATTTTTTTCCAGGGAACATTTATGTTCTTTGAGTTGTACTGAAATGTTATATTGATATGGCTTGAAATAAGTAGACCTTCAACTAGACTCTAAAAACGTTTTTATTATTTGATAATAGGCCTTATAATAGAATTTGACTCATATAGTTTCCATAATCATGGAGTGGCTGTCAATAGTCTGAAACTTATTTTAACAAGGCATTGTACATATTTGCAAGCTTATAATGTACTCTGCAAATATTTACTGCACATGTATGATGCGATGGGCACGTATCACTAGAATGGAGAGATGAGTAAGACCTGGTCCTTACAATTCCCGTAGCCTGTTAGCATCACAGAGAATAAATGACAACCATAGGATGATGAGAGTGACAGAAACAGATACAGAGATACACAGACGAGGCAGTGATAGATTGTGTCAGCACTGGGGCGAGGTAAGATGGGGGCGGGGAGTGAGACAAAGTTGCCTTGAGGAAATGAAAGCTGACCAAGATTTCCATGAAGTTTGGAGGTAACTGAGGAGGAAGGCCATTTCAGGCAAAGAAGCCAGCATGTGCACCGCCATGGCGGTGGGGACAGCAGTTTGGCCTTGTGAGTGTTGATATATGGGGTGAGGGAGGAGCAGACTAGGAGCAGGAGAGCAGGGAAGAACCAAGTCATGGAGCTTGTGTACTCAAGTCCCCTGTAGCCATCTTTACTGCCCCATAGGGTAGCCACAAGCCACAAGTGGCTATAAAATTGAAAAGACCCAAAATTAAATAAAATTAAAAATTTATTTCCTTAGTCACACTGGCCACCTTATAAAGGATCAGTCACTGTGTATGGTTAATGGCTGTTGTGTTGGGCAGTGTAGATTAGAGAACATGCCCATCATCACAAAAAGTTCTCTTGGATTGGATGGGGCTACGTGGGGCCTGTAACCCCTGAAAAGAACAAGCACACACTTTGTTTCAATTGAGGGTAATTAAATATGATAACTTGGGCTTAAATTTAAATATATTATTCTACACTTGAAGAAACTGCTACTTGAATTTTTGGGCAGGTTTTAGTTCATGGTCAATTATGCTAAATCTGTATTTTATTACTTTTCCATTTTTGACTCATGGAATTCTCACATGCTTCTTTCTTCTTCTCTGCATTCCCTCTCTCAACTCCATTCAAAGTAACTTGCAAAGCTGAGTGGGTGGGAAAGATTAATAACAATAATTGCCAAACTTGATGCCAGGCACTCTTCTGAGAGTTTTACATAGGTTAGCCAATTTATTCTGCATCATAGCACTCTGATGTGGGTATTACTATTATTATTTTTATCCCTATTCTACAGTTGAGGAAACGGAGGCACAGAAATATCAATTAACTTGCCATGTCATATGATAAGGAAATGAAGGTGCCAGGATTCAAATTCTGGCTCCCAGTTTGGAAACTCACCCACTGCACTCTACTGCCAACACAGAGTCTG